AGGAAAACACACAAGTTCCTCTTCTTCCTCTGTTGTAACTTGGAATTACTCAGTTTTTCACATTTCGATGAATATGACACAAAACAGACTCTGGAAGACAGCACACATCTTCTGCCACTAGGGTTAGAATAAGAGTGAATGCTTCGGCTCTGTACACAGCTCTAAGACATTCTACCTGTACATACCATGCACATACACACACTCACAGTGTCTCAGAAAATACAGAGTACAATTAAGGAAACAGAGAAATCGAGCTCTTGAACTTTGGTGGATCTGCAAACTTAGCACGGTGTCTGGCCCACTGGAGGGCCCACAGGAGAGGTAATGCCAAATGTGAGAGGGAACCCACAGGTACAGCCCCAGCCAACTACAAACACCAAAGGATGACGTCAGGCAAAGGAGGAAATCTGCAAAGGGAAGCAACATCGCTACCACTCACTATGCACTATTCTAAGCCAGATCCAAGTCACCGCATCTTTACTGCCCCACTTTGTCTACAGACAGACCTTGTTTTATTGCACTTCACTTGTCTGTGCTTTGCAAAGACTGCAGTTCTTACAAATTGATGGTTGTGGCAACCCTGTGTCAAGCAAGCCTGGCAGTGCCACTTTGCCAACAGTGTTTGACCATTTTTTGTTTCTTTATCACATTTTGGTAATTCTCCCAATATTTCAAACTTTTGTATTATTACTATATTTGTTTTGGTGATCTGTGATCAGTGATTATAAGTTGCTGAAAGCTCAGATGATGACTAGTATTTTCTAATTAAGGCACATACAATTTTTTTTTTAGACAAAATGCCATGGTACACTTAATAAACTCCAATATAGTGTAAACATAACTTTTATATGCATTGGGAAACCAAAAAATTCATCTCACTTCCTTTATTACAATATTTGCTTCCCTGCAGTAGTCTGGAACCACACCTGCATATCTCCGAGGCCTGCCTATATGCAGGCACATTTCTCTGACACATATTAGCACAAGGCATGAGGCACATGAAGGACTAAATAAGGAGCCTATACCCAATACATACCCAAGCGCAGTTTTTTCCTCTCCTTAAGGTGGTATCCCAAACCAGGCAAGACCGTGCTTTAGAATGAAGTCAAATTTTCCTCTCAATATCCTCTAGCTGAGGTTACCATAGATTTATTCATACACTTAAAAGCAAATCAGATGGCTACGCCTTCAAGGAAGAACATTTTTATTAAATATTTTTTAAAATATCAATCCTTAATAGATGGGGAGGGGAGCCTTCTCTAGAGGAAACTTGAGAGTATCATTTAGAGGACAGAGACTACTTTTCCCCACTGTCCTCCCTAGAAAGTGCCCATTCCAATCCTGACTCAGTTTTTAAATTGTTAAAGTGATATGAAGAGGCAGTTTTATGTATAGTAACTTACAAAATGTTTCTTCTTTTATTAAAGTATCATTGATAAACAATCTCATGATGGCTTCACATAAACAACACACTGGTTTCAGCATTCGCCCATATTATCAAGTCCTCACCCCTCTACTATGGTCACTGTCTATCATTACTTGTCTTCTCCATGCTGTACTACCTTCCCCATGACCTACCTATTTTGTGATTGCGAATTATAGTGCCCCTTAATTCCCTAATCCTTCCCCAACCCCTTCCCTTTGGTAACCACTAGTCCCTTCTTGGGGTATGTGAAATTGCTGTTTTGTTCCTTCAGTTCTGCTTTGTTGTCATACTCCACAAATGAGTAAAGTCATTTGGTAATTGGAGTCTTTCTCCACCTGGATTATTTCAGTGAGCATAATACCCTCTAGCTCCATCCATGCTGTTGCAAATGATAGGATTTGTTTTCTCCTTATGGCTGAATAATATTCCATCATGTATATGTACCACATCTTCTTTATCCATTCATCTATTGGACACTTAAGTTGCTTCCATATCTTGGCTACTGTAAACATTGCAGTGATAAACATAGGGGTGCATATGTCTTTTTTAATCAGAGATCTTGTTTTCTTCAGGTAAATACCTGTAAGTGAGATACTGGATCAAATGGTATTTATATTTTTACTTTTTTGAGGAACTTCCACATTGCTTTCCACAGAAGTTGAACCAATTTACATTCCCACCAACAGTGTAAGAAGGTTCCCCTTTCTCTGCATCCTCACCAGCACTTATTGTTTCTTGTCTTTTGGATGTTGGCCATCCTAACTGGTGTGAGGTGATATCTCATTGTGGTTTTAATTTGCATTTCCCTGATGATTAGCAATGTGGAGCATCTTTTCATGTGCCTGTTGGCCATCTGTATTACTTTAGAGAAGTGTCTGTTCAGATCTTCCACCCATTTTATAATCATTTTTGGGTGTTGAGGTGTGCAAGTTCTTTATATAATTTAGATGTTAGCCCTTTATTAGATAAATCATTAATGAATATATTCTCCCATATTATAGGATGCCTTTTTGTTCTGCTGATGGTATCCTTTGCTGTACAGAAGCTTTTTAGTCAGGTGAGTCCCACTTGTTCATTTTTTATTTTGTTTTCCCTTGTTGTACAGAAGCTTTTTAGTCAGGTGAGTCCCACTTGTTCATTTTTTATTTTGTTTCCCTTGCCCAAGGAGAAGTGTTCAGGAAAAAGTTGCTCATGTTTATAATCAAAAGAGTTTTGCCTATGTTTTCTGCTAAGAGTTTTATGGTTTCATGACTTACATTCAGGTCTTTGATCCATTTCAAGTTCACCTATAAAATGTTTTAATTCTCAAAGCAGAATTCAAGTACAGTGTTTTGGAGAAGGGATCCAGAAGCTCACCTATCACTTTGCCTTTCAGAATTAGAGAAGCTTGAGGACATGAAGTGCACTGTGAGAGGGGGGATGGAAGAAACTCTGTGCTCAGTGGGTAGAACTTGAATCCCCTTCTGAACTACACTCCCTGAATGCTCACAACCAGTCTTACACTCCCCAGGCTAGAGAATGTCCTCACTGGCAAGGTTGACACACACAAACACACACACACACACACACACACTAGACAACTACCGACATGTAGGCATCACTAAATGATAAAGTTGGGTTTAACCTGAACATAACACTGAAGCTCACTTGCATTTCTGTGCCTTAATCTTCAGAATGAATGGACACCTAAGACCAATAGACATTCAAGGAATATCTCCAATAAGAAAGAAGAGACCAAAACAAACAGAAGAAATATAGGAATTGGAAAACAAAAATAATACAGTGAAACCTCAAAAATACTTATAATTAACATTCTAAGAGAAAAGAGAAGATATTATAACCATGAAATACAAATAGGATACAATTACAATTTTAAAAATAACTAAAACTCTTTAGAAATTGTGTGATAACAAAAAATAAAATATGCAATTTAAAAAATTGAAGACAAAATGAAGTAAGTCACCTAGAAAACTGAAAAAAAAAAACAAGCTAGAATATAGAAGGGGAAAATCTACGAATACTGCTCAGTCTAGGAGGTCCAAATATCTTAATAGTTATATCTAAAAATAGAACAAAGATAATGAATGAAAACTTATATAAGATATTATACAAGAAAATTTCCAGATTGAATTTCTAGATCAGAGGAGCCTACAAGATTACTAACATAATAAACATTTTCAAATTTTTAAATTTTAGATTCTCAAAGAAATCCTCAAAGCAAATAAAAATCATTGTTTCTACACAAGAAAACAGAAATTATAAGGTGATTATATTTCAAAACAAAAATACTAAAAAATAAAAGGTAATGAAGCAATATCTTCAAAATCCTGAAGGAAAATTATTTCTAACCTACACTTCCACACACAGCCAAATTATTAAGTAACTCTGAAGATAGACTTTATGTACTAGCATATTTACAAATTCCCCAAAATTGTTATCTCCCATATACTCAGTCTCATAAATCTGCTGGAGAAAGTGCTTCACCAAAAGTAGAAAATCAAAAAAGGAAAAGAGAAACATGGGTCCAAAGAAATGGGATTCCATGTTTAATCCAAGAGAAAGATGAAGGAAATACATAGAATCCCTAGAACACACTGAAGGGACTTCCTAGAATGATAATGAAAGAAATTTCCAGGACAACAGTTAAGTGGAAGATCCAGAGATTAAGCAAGGAAGATCATGGAGATGAGAAAATGGAGAGAGTTCTAAGAAATAACAAAAAGTAAAATACTAATAGTCATAAACAATGGATAGATTACCTAGTGAGTGTGACTAGGTTTAAAAAATATTTCAAGTATGTCAGAGAGTTTGTATATGATTCAGAAAAGGCAAAGGAAAAATAAAGCAACTGGAAATACGATGCAATTATTAACTTAGGAAAATAGAAAGTTGCACAAGAAAGGAAATAGAGCTTTATATACTAGGTGTTTCAGCTTTGAATAGTATTGTCATGTCAATGTAACAATGTAAACACTAAATAATGAGTTAACAAAAATGGCCATATGCATACACTGGGAGAGCAAAGGGAGGGCAAAATGTGTGCACTGGGGACCACACAGGGATCATCAGAGAGAATCCTGTATGAGAGCTATAGCTTCATCCTCTAGGTTTGAAGTCAATACATACGAAATTGAAAAATTAGAGAACACCAGCAGAAGCATGTTATTTGGGAAAAAGAAAATAAATAGAATAAAGTTAAAGTTAAAAATTATTGATTCTGAGTAGTAAGAAATAGGAATAGCAAAGGTTGGGCATGGGATCCAATTTTTTATATGGACTTTCTATAGTAATATTTGAGCTTTAAAATTATACATGTATTACTTTGATATAAAGTATAATTAATTATAAACACAGGAAAATGTTTATAAGTAAAATAACATATAAAGTCTGATCCATTTAAAAATATACACACACACACAGAAGCTTTTGAATGCATAATCTGTTCCTAGTGATTCTCTCTCAGGGGTAGGGTTACGGGAGTTCTGTTGGTTTCTTCGTTTCCCACAAATATCTGTGTTGCTACTTAACAGGAAATATACTTTTATTCACAAAATAATTTAAACCATTTGCTTACCTTAGCTGATTTTTTAATACTTAAGCCTCCATTCAGTTTAAAAAGAACTGTTGTGTTGTACCCAGTCTGGTTTCCATGTCCATGAGGCCACCAAGTTTCCACTGTAACATTCTTTATTGAAGAGCAATAAAAATATTTGAAAGATTTATCCATATCTCAAATTCATTTGCCATAAATCTCTTGAAATTACTGCATTTAATTTTGCTTGGGTTATGACAAATAAAGAATCAACTCAGTTCCTCAATATACTATTAAACACAGATTTTTAAACACAGTAACATTCTCTTAAGAAATAATAAAAGTCATTCTAAGTAATCCATGGCATATTTTCAGTAAAATAATACAGTGATTCAGAGCACTATATCAATCTCTCATAGAGCAAGCACAGAAATTGCAGTTTCTAAAACAATATGAGTATTCCCCCCATATTAAGCTAAACCATGCCAATTCACAGAAATTTAAAAATCAATATGCTAGAGTTTAGCATGGATTAACATACCAAAACAGAAAGAACAGAACATGGTTGCTCAGAAAGACAACTCTTCCCACTCCTAACATTCAAGCTCACACTTACTCTACACCCTCCACATTTAGAATTGGACTTTGGGGTTAACTCTTCTTTGAAACCCAGAACTAGATATTGTTTTGAGTTCTTAAGTTATCTGAACAGTTATGAATGTTCATTTGTTTCATCCTGAACTGCATTCAGTACACAATTATCAATTAGAGAAATAAGAAAAAGGAAAAAAAACGGTAAAATCCAGCCCACTTCTACCCACCAGAGATCATGAGTTTAGAATTAGAATTCTGCATGTAGAATAAACACCAATATTCAAAATAACTTTATCAAAAATAATCACTGTATTTAAATATAATGCTTAAATTTATGTTGGATTTAAGATACTATAAACACTGCGAAAAATTAATAACACACCTGACTTCTTGAGAGGAAAGGATGCCAGATTAATCACATACATACTTTTTCTTTCATATTCAGTCCTTTCTTTCTAAGCATTTCTTTTTAACAGTATTGCTTTTCAATTAGTGCTTCTAAGGAAGTATCACCATTCACCTTGTTAATATTCACCAATAATTCAACAATCCTTTCCCAAGGTTGAAGTTTAATGCTGTACGTTTGCTCTATTTGTAGTTTAGGGATGGCTACAATCACTTGACCATGAACTGGGTCTGAGCTGGCAGTATCCAAAGAAGCCTGTATTTCAAGAGTCCACTGCTGAGTACTGTTATCTAAGGCATAAAGAGAAAAGAAATAGCATATTTTATGTGTATATATACAAATATATAAAACATGCTAGGCAATATTGCTACCCTCCTTAGGATTTACTGAAGGAAAGACTAAAGCAGCTTCTAAACATTTAAAGTGCTCCACAAACATAATAAAAGGCTCAGGGGAAATTATCTTTTAATCTTTATAGTTTAATCCTCATTATAAAGAATAACAACCAATATTATATAATTCATATGTACTTCTACTCAAAATATGTTGCAATCATAAGCCATAAAACTTCAATAGGCAAAAACAGAGCCATAGATGAATGGAATAGAATGGAGTCCAGATATAAACTCACACATATATGGCCAATTAATATATGACAAAAGAGCCATAGACATACAATGGAGAAAGGACAGCTTCTTCAACAACTGGTGTTGGCAAAACTGGACAGTTATATGTAAGAGAATGGAACTGGATTACTGTCTAGCTCCATATACAAAAGTAAACTTGAAATGGACCTGAAGATAAGTCAGGAAACCATAAACTCTTAGAAGAAGAAAACATAGGCAAAACTCTCTTTAATATAAACATGAGCAGCTTTTCATGAACATATCTCGTCGGGCAAGCAAAACAAAATAAAAATGAACAAATGGGACTACATCAGACTAAAAAGTTTCTGTACAGCAAAGGACACCATCAGTAGAACAAAAAGGCATCCTACAGTATGGGAGAATTTATTCATAAATGACATACCTGATAAGGGGTTAACATCCAAAATATACAAAGAACACACAACACCCAAAAAGCAAATAACCCGATTAAAAAATGGTAGAGGATCTGAACAGACACTTTTCCAAAGAAGAAATTCAGATGGCCAACAGGCACATAAAAAGATGCTCCACATCACTAATCATCAGAGAAATGCAAATTAAAACCGCAATGAGATATCACCTCACACCAGTTAGGATGGCCAACATTGAAAGACTAGGAAGAACAAATGCTGGCAAGGATGCAGAGAAAGGGGAACTCTCCTACACTGCTGGTGGGAATGTAAATTAGTTCAACTATTGTGGAAAGCAATATGGAGGTTCCTCAAAGAACTAAAAATAAAAATACCATTTAACCCAGTAATTCTACTCCTAGGAGTTTATCCAAAGAAAACAAGAGCCCAGATTAAAAAAGACATACTGCACCCCTATGTTCATCACAGCACTATTTACAATAGACAAGAAATGGAAGCAACCTAAGTGTCCATCAGTAGATGAATGGATAAAAAAGATGTGGTACATATACACAATGGAATATTATTCAGCCATAAGAAGAAAACAAATCCTACCATTTGCAACAACATGGATGGAGCTAGAGGGTATAATGCTCAGTGAAATAAGCCAGGTGGAGAAAGACAAGTACCAAATGATTTCACTCATATGTGGAGTATAAGAACAAAGAAAAAACTGAAGGAACAAAACAGCAGCAGAATCACAGAACCCAAGAATGGACTAACAGTTACCAAAGGGAAAGAGCCTGAGGAGGATGTGTGGGAAGGGAGGGATAAGGGGATTAAGGTGTATTATGATTAGCACACATAATGTAGGGGGGTCACGGGAAAGGCAGTATGGCACAGAGAAGACAAGTAGTGACTCTACAGCAGCTTACTATGTTGATGGACAGTGGCTGTAATGGGGTATGTGGTGGGGACTTGATAATAGCGGGGAATGTAGTAACCACAATGTTGCTTATGTGAAACCTGAGCATAAGATTGGATATCAATGATACCTTAATAAAAAAAAAATTTAATAGGGCACAAATTGCAAATGAAAAGATAATATATTTCTAAGATCAATACAAACTTGTTCCTTTTCTAAAGTAAATAAAAATACTTAGGGTTTTTAAGCCATAAAAATAAGGTGCAAACTTAGATGTATTAAAATTAATCAGAAGTGAAAAAAACAGAGAGTTACTTTTTATGTAGACTGTGTCCAAGAAATACATGCTGAGAACCTTCTATATGCTATGTCCTTTGCTAAGTGATGGGAATTAAACAGGATAGATATGCCCCCACCCACATGAGCTGTGAGTAATGGGATATAGACAAGTGCAAAAGTGTGCTCATACAAAGATGGGAGAAATAAAAGGTTGTTTGGAGAAGACATTTACAGGAAGGTAGGACTCCCAACTTACAGAGGATGGGCCAAGGCCTTCTTGAAAAGGCTGTATCTAGCTAAGCCCAGGAGGATGTGTTAGCTAAGGCTGGAGGAAGAGTCAAGTATTCCAGGCACAGAGAAGAGTCGCAAGCAAGAAACAGCAAGGATGTAACAAGGCTTTGAGCAATGGTGACCTTGGTGAGGACATCAGTGTGACTGAGGAGGTTAGGCAGGGCTCAGCTTTGCAGGGTCATGTGAGAAGTTTGGCAACTTCACCCTGGATCAATGCGGAGCTGCTGAAGATTTTTCATCAAAAAGGATACCATGATTAGGTTTGCATTTTAAAAAATCACTGGGGGCCCAGTGAAGTGACATTACCAGTATGCAAGTGGAAGCAGCACTGAGACATGAAATTTCATGCAAAAAGAGATGAGAAGTGCCATTTGGAAAATCCAGGAATGTTGGGAGGAGGGGGAAAAAAAGGGAAGAGGGAGAGCAAAGCTGGAGAGGAAGGCTATGGAGCCAAAAGATGAGATAGCTGCCTAATGAATGGGATTTGGGAGTGGAGTTTGGGATGGGGCAGAATGTTTCAGGAGGGTTTGGAAGTAGCATTTCATATTATGTTCCGTATGAGCCTGTCCTCCATTATCCATTAAATTTACATTGTTTCATGTCTCCAGAACTGGATTTGTATTTTGCATTTTAAATGAGACAGTATGCCAAAGCAGGCTGTGGGCAAGAGAAGAGCAGAGTAGAAAAGCAGACCCGCATTTTTCAGGTTATGCAGGAGAACCCAGGAATGAAGTTCCTCAAAAGGCTGGATGGGCAGGGTGTCAGAGGCACCAGTGGGGGCTGCCCTTCCTCACCGCCTCAGAAAGGAGGCCAGCAGTGCGTGGTGCACATGCACCCAAGTTTGTATGAACCATGGCAAAAAGTCTAGGGAGCTTCTGAGGCTTCTGTCTTTCTCTCTGCAGAAGGGATGGGAGGTTATCAACTGGGAAATACCTTAGGGACTCTTCTCCTACAAATAAGGAGGGGAATGATAATCATAGATTTACTGCAAAAGAAAGAAAAGATAAGTATGCTGATCAATAGCCAAAGGCTTTATAACTGGCATTCCGTACAAATGTAGAACCACACCAGACCTCTTCTAAAAATGATCACACTATAATCTCATTATTTGCATCTCACATAGGCCAAAAGTATAGATGGATTTGATGCATCCTCAATTAAAACTAACCCCAGACTTAAGAACTATTTTTATTTATTAAATGATTCATTCCTAGGAACACTAGTCAATGAGCCCTGAACTGGGTTTGTTCTGACCAATTCTGCAGCATACCCACCTGCAGCCTCCAAGTTTTTCTTAGACACAGTAAAATGTATCAAGACAACCATACTTCTTTGTTAAAGATACTTTTCTCCTACCAAGTATATACTGAGACTCTCAGTTTTCCCTTCATGGCTTTAAACAGAAGCACACACTCCAATCTGATCCAAACCTGTTTATCTTCTAAAAATCCCTAAGTCTTTGACAGCTGTATGACTTTAAGCTCCCTATCATATTTCCTCTGGCTTCTCTTACTGTCTCTTATTTCAAGAAATAATAATACATAACATTTACCAAGAACTTACTACGAGCTAGGCATTGTCTTATGTTCTCAACAGGTACTTAATTAAGCATCACAACACTGCTCTTATTATATGTAAATGTAAATATAAATATGTATATATATGTCAACTCTACAATTCTCATTTTATAGATGAGAAAACTGAGGCACAGAGAAGCTAAATACCTTGCCCAAGGTCACACAGCTAGTAAGTGGCAGAGCCTGGATATGAACCAAGACAGTCTGAAATTAGACACTGTAAACTTAACCTCTAAACTACAGCAATCTCACCCAAATTATTTCCCCAAAACCATGTCTTAGTGGTGCTCAGGATTTGTAGAGTGGGGAGGGATGTCTTTTCATATACAGGAGCATCAAGCTGTGCTAGATATCAAATATGTCTTTTGGCTGAGTCTTTAACCATAACAGCACAGATTCATAAAACTTTTCAACTAGAAGTACACTGATAGATCACCTAATCTACTTACCAATGAGTGTTTGATTCCCTCTAGACCACAGGCTATGGTCCTTGGGCCAAAGCTAGCCCACCTTTTGTTTTTACAAATACAGATTTTTGAACACACCCGCTATGGAATGAATTGTATTGGCTCTGCCCCCCACCCCCCACTAAAATTCATATGTTAAAGGTCTAATCCTCAGTGTGATTTATCTGGAGATAGGGTCTTTTTAGGAGGTAATCAAGTTAAATGAGGTCATTAGGGTGAGACCCTAATATGACAGGACTGTAGCCTTATAAGAAGAGGAAGAGATCGATCTATCTATCCATCTATCTATCTTTTTTCTCTTCCTTCACCCCCCACCATGTGAGGACACAGTGAAAAAGTTGGCCACTGGCAAGCATAAGAGAGCCTCACCACAAACCAAATCAGCCAGTACCTTGATCTTGGACTTGCCAGCTTCCAACTGTGAAGAGTCAGTTTCTGTGGTTGAAGCCACCCAGCCTCCAGCACTTTGCTGTGGAAGCATGAGGAGACCAAGGCAAGAGTCATCTTACTTGATTCCATACTGTTCTGCCTGCCTCTGCACTACAATGGCAAAGCTGAGTAGTCGCAATAAGGCCCTATGGTCCAAAAAAGCCTAAAATACTTACTATCTGATCCTTCACAGAAAAAGTTTGCTGACCCCTACCCTAGAATAATTCCCCCAAAGGCCATGTTAATCTTTCTTTAATAGCTATAATGACAAAAATCTCTGTCTCACAGAATAGCCTTCCCTTTTTTCTAGCTTTGACTATTAGAA